GGGAGGTGGTGAAGGCTGAGGTGATGGGGGCAATCAATTCTTTTTTTTTTTTCATGCTCTTTTGAGAAGAGTCTCAATGCTTCCATCATTACTCCTGTCCCCAACAAGAGCGGTGAGGCGAAGGACTTTAGACCCATTAGTCTTGTTGGGGCGGTATATAAGATTATTGCGAAATTCTTAGCCATTCGGTTGAGGAGAGTTCTAGATGGGGTGATCTCGGACTCCCAGAATGCTTTTGTTGGAGGGCATCAAATTCTGGATTCAGTTTTGATTGCTAGTGAATGCATTGATGCAAGGGCGAGAAGTGGTATTCCGGGGATTGTGTGCAAACTGGATATCGAAAAAACCTATGATCATGTTTGTTGGGATTTTTTGTTATATTTAATGGAGAGAATGGGGTTTGGGCAGAAGTGAAGGGCGTGGATTCTTTTCTGTATTTCAATTGCTCGGTTCTCGGTTTTAGTGAATGGATCCCCAGCTGGTTTTTTTGCTAGTTCTCGTGACTTAAGGCAGGGGGACCCTCTTTCCCCCTTCTTGTTTATCATTGTCATGGAGGCTTTTAGCTGCTGATGGTGAGGGCGGAGCAGCTTGGGTTCATTCAAGGATTCTCAGTGGGTAAAATTCCGAATCAATTAGTCATCTCCCACCTGCTCTTTGCAAATGACACTATTGTCTTTTGTAATGCTAGCCTCCTTCAGTTAAGGTATTTACAGTGTGTGTTGGCCTGCTTTCAAGTTGTTTTTGGGTTGAAGATTAACATTGGGAAGAGTGAGATTGTCCAGTAGGCGAGGTGGAGGATATCCAAGTCTTGGCTGATACTCTGGGGTGTGGTGTTGGCTCTCTCCTGATCTCCTACTTAGGATTTCCTTTGGGAGTCTCATCAAGGAGAGTTGCTGTGTGGGATCCGATTATTAAGAGGTTTGAGAGGAGGCTTGGAGGTTGGAAGAAGCAATATTTGTCCAAAGGGGGGAGGGTTACTCTTATGAAGTGCACGCTCTCAAATTTCCTGACCTATTTCGCGTCGCTCTTTCGGATGCCCAAGTCAGTTATTCGAAGACTTGATGTGATTCAAAGGAAGTTTTTGTGGGGCGGGTTAGGAGATGAGTTCAAATACCACTTGGTTATTCGGGAAAGAGTGTGTTCCCCTATTAAGAAGGGGGGTTTAGGTATTCGAAGGTTGGATGTGTTTAATAAGGCGTTGTTGGGCAAGTGGTTGTGGAGGTTTGGTAGAGAGAGGACCAAGCTTTGGAGGCGCGTTATCGCTTGTCATTATGGGGAGGGAGATGGAGAGTAGCACTCAAACAAGGCTAGAAGCCCAGTTGGAATGGGCTCATGGAAGCTAATTCGTAGAGGGTGGGATGAATTCTCTAAACGTATTCAGTTCAAGGTTGGAAGCGGAAGGTTTGTCAGGTTCTGGGAAGATAGATGGTGTGGGGATTTGGCTCTAGCTTTCAAATTCCCGCGTCTTTACCGAATTGTTGTGCTTCGAGGTGCTACGGTTGCTGACTATTATTGACTCAATAATGGGAAGGTGACTTGGGATGTGCAGTTCCGTCGACAGTTCCATGATTGGGAACTTTTGGAAGTGTCAGACTTTCTAGCCTTCATTTATAACCAAGTGGTGGTAGGGATGGGCATGGACGAGATGCTTCGGGAGGGCACCTCTAGAGGGGTTTTCGAGGTTAAGTCATTCTACAATTGTATGTTGGAGAGCCTAGCCCCCTTTTCCCTTGGAAGGCCATTTTGAGGTCGAAACCTCCACTGAAGGTTGCTTTCTTCTCTTGGACCGCTGCTTGGGGAAGCATCCTAACTATTGATGATCTTATAAAAATAAGGCATGTTGTGGTCAACAGGTGTTGTCTGTGCAAGACAACGGGTGAATATGTCAACCATCTTCTTCGTTATTGCTTGATGGCTAGGGATGTGTGGTCTATGTTTTTGGGTGCTTTTGGTCTTACATAGGTGTTCTCAGAATCCAAAGTAGATTTGTTAGAGACTTAGAAAGGGTGTACAGTGGAGAACCGAGTCAGAGATGTTTGGAGGGCCACTCCCCTTTGTATTTGGTGGGGCTTGTGGCGTGAGAGAAATAGGAGATTTTTTGAGGGAGAGGAGTCTTCCCATCTGGGCTGTTAAATACTATTAAATACAGTATTCTTACTTCTTTATTCTTTTGGGTAAATGGGGGGACTGTAATTCAATGGATTCTCTTTTGGATTTGTGGATAGCTTAAAGCTATAGTGTCATCTAGGTCGGTTGTTGTATTCTTTCGGAGCGCTCCCCTTTTGAGCGCCTTTTATAAAATCTTACTTATCAAAAAAAAAAAAGTGGAGGAGGTTGAATCGGAGGCCATGAGATCAGATTGTGGTAGAAAGCAGAGAGAAATTGTGAGATAAAAAAAAAATAAAAAATAAAAAATAAAATAAAATAAAATTGGGTAAAGTACATTGACACCCCTGAGGTTTGCTATAAGGACAACCCATATACAAGTTGGCCTATTTTTGGACAATGAAATCTCCTTGTCAGATATGGGATCCAAACAGAGCCTAAAAACCTATAAAAAATCTAATTTGCCCTCCATTATTTTTTAATTTTTTAAGTAAAATATCAGAACACTTAAAATACTGAGTTGCCCTTTCACGCAAATCTCCCCTCTTTGTATGCAATTTTTTTTTTGGTTCTTTTATGTCATTGGCTCTTTGTACGCAAATCTCACCTCTCACTCTTCTCTAACCCTAACCCTATTTTCACCCGCCAGATTCTCTCTATCTAACCCTCGGATCATGACAACCCTCTACAAATTTCACTGATGACAACGACCACCACCACTGATCGTCGGAGACAATCAAATCGGCGGCGATGATATGACATCTACGCCAAGTAGTCAAACGGTACCTTTTTTGCTCACCTCTGCTCCTCCTATACGTGTGTCGGTATATACTATTGCAAGCGTATCAATGTGTGCAGTTATATATATATATGTATGCAATTGAATTGAAAAAACAGAGCTTTGCTTCCTACTGTATGTGTGTTGATGTGGTTATATATATATATATATATATATATATATGCAATTAAATTGAAAAAACAGAGCTTCTTCATTTGAGGAAAAGAAAAAACAGAGCTTACTGTGTGTTGGTGTGTAATTATATATATACAAATATATATATGTATATGTAACTAAATTGGAAAAATAGAACTTCAATTTTTACTGTGTGCTGGTGTGTGGTTATATATATATATATATATATATATATATATATGCAATTGAATTTTAAAATGCAGAGCTTCGATTCACCACGTCTTTATTTATATTCTCTTTCCAAATTACCCCAAAACAAATTAGTATACTCTGCTCAACGAGGAGGATGCTCTACCTTGGCACCAATCAACACTGTACTGTTTGATTTTGATATTATTATAGATGATTATATATTTTTTTTATATAAGTTATTATTATAGAAGATTATGTTGTTGATCTTGGTTTAAATTGGGAAAAATTCAGATTATTATTATTATTCTTGTGGATCGTGACGTCCATGTCAACTTGGTCGGGACCTTCAATTTGTTGAGCAAAATCAAGGAGTTTATGACCACTATTGATTGTCCCAAGAAATTCACCTCGATGATCTAATAAGGCCCGTTGGAGACGGAACAGAGTTGTTCCTTAGTGCCATACTTAATTTTTGTATTGACAGGTTCATTTTAAAATGATACACTAAGCACAGTTGTTGTTTAGAATTTGATGTGCTGATAATTTTTGGTGTTAACGCTCTTATTGTACTGATTGATTCGAGCGTGGTAGTATGGGATTGATGTTGTCTGAAATGGAGCATTCAAGTGTACTAATTGATTCAAATTTGCTGTTAAAATCATGCCAATGGTATATATATGGATATAGGTATATATATGTAGAGAGAAAAATTGGAGAAGAGTTATTTGGAACTTGGAATCTGCTATATATATGTGTAGATATACACACATATACACACACATATACACACACACACCACACACACACACACATATATTGTTGTTTCAACGGTTCAGAGATGGCTTCCAACACACTGCCACTCCTATCATCATCATCTTCTTCTTCAATCAGTTCTACTCGAATATTCAATTCAATGGTTGGTGGATTTGGTATAGAGGGTTAGTTTTGTCCATTAAAATGACTTAAAGAAAGATAAGTTAAGAATTTGGGAAATTTTCGCCACACAGAAATGATGGTGTCCTATTGTGTATTTATAGTTACAACAATAAGAGAGAGATGGAGAGATTCTCTCAACAAAATTATTTGTTTGTTGTTACAACAATAAGAAAGAAATGGAGAGATTCTCCCAACCTATATGAGATTCTCTCAACAAACCTATCTAGATTTCCCTTTTACCCGATTTTCTGATTTATCCAATATATCATTAGCTAATCTCTTAACATCTAGCATCTCTCTTCCAAGCAGTCAATCCTTGCCAAACCCATCATGTTCTTTGCTTTCACTAGTTACCGTCGCGTGAATATGACAAGTGTTGGTATTAACATATTCAATGGGTTAGAAATTTAAATCTATTGGATTCTCTCCCCCCGTTCCCTACACACATCAGAATATATCCAATAAGTTCCACTTTACCACCACCACCCCCCGTGAATCCCATATACCAACAACCATGATTAGCTTTTCTGATTCTCAACCCCACGGTTCTGATCTCCATCACCACACTTTCATGTTTCATTCATCATTCAGGTATGCTTCTCTTTCACTTGATTTTCATTTGAATATTCTCATCCTCACAGCTACAGTTCAGGTTAAGTCGGAGAAGCTTCAAATGCATATACTTTTTTTTTCTTTTTTTACAAGTATTCAAATGCATATACTCAATGAAGGTATGGGATGTTGCCATCTCTACATATGAGACTACAATACTCTTAATTAAAATAAAATTAACTAGAAAACAACAAAGCAAAAATAAAAATTCTAATTGCACAAAGATGGAAATCTTACTTACAACGTAAATAGAGATTAATGGCATGAACCAGGAATCCGTTCCCGTCAATTCCACTCAATAACGATGAAATCGGGATGAAAGACATTGAGATCACATCTGGTTCAAGTTGGACGGTTTGGCACCACTTATTATGGGTTAAGTTCATGTTATTGTTTCCACCTCTTCTCTTCCAGAAGAATGTAATATCCTGCATTAGAATAATACATGAGGTTCATGAAAGTGAACTCAGCCCCAAGTTTACTTGAAACCTTGTTTAGACATGTATCACTGCCGTGTGCGTAGAAACATCAACTGCATGCATTATGGGTGATATATGTCTCAAAATCTGACATATCCATTGGGGTCAAATTTGGAAAACATGAGGTTCTGGAGTTGGCATTCAAGTAAAATAGTGTAAATAAGAACTACAATGAACACATTAAACAAGGAAATATTGAACTAAACAAGAAGAAGAAAAAGTGATATGTTTAATCTGGAGACTCATGGAAATATAAAGCATGAATCACACTTGCTATCTTGGTACATGCAACATTGTGCCCAACGAGAAATTAATGAAACGAGGAATCAAGCATTCAGTCAAATCCCGTTTACTGTCATAATATGAATTAAAAAAAAAAAAAATTACCTGTACAAAATTGACCAAATTAAATTTTTATATTTTGCAAAAAAATCTCACCTCATCCTGTGAGAAAGAACTCGTTGTCCCGGAGCCCATGAAGGCCAGCCCATGTTCCTTGATCTCAAGCTAAAACAGAAATAATGATGTGAGTTAAAAACAGAAATAATGATGTGAGTTAAGAAGTTCTAACCAATATCGAGGTATGTTTGCTAAAAGGTTATTTGTTAATAATAATTAAAGCTTGCAACAGTAACCAAGTTATCAGAATGCTGTATATATCACTTTGCAGAAACAATTTAAGAGATGATAAATAAAAAAGAAAGCATACTTCAGAAAACATAAGGATACCAAGCTCGAGCTTGATTATGACGAAAACTTGTAAGTGAAAACTGCAACAAAAATTTTCATTTAAAAGAAAAAAAAAAATCAAACGCTATCAATTAAGTTAAAAATTCCACTGCATGTTTTGGTACTCTATATCAAAAGGAAATATTAGTCAAAGTTTCACAGTTCTATTTCAATAACATAGAGTCTCCATGCTCATCCCTTTGGAATAAATTGCAGTATCTAGTTACACTTTATGAATTTCTCACATGCTTCAGTCAATCGATTGTAAATTTTGACCAAACAACCAATTCTAGCCGTAATTTTTTTCATTTTTCTGAGAGTAAAGCTTCACCATTTACTCCATGTATAAAAGATACTCAAAACAAATGGAGATTTTTAGTGATTTCAGCCAAAGCAAGTAATACAGTTTCATTGAGTAGAATCAAGTCATACACAATTTTGCACAAATTATAGAAATACTAAAGAGTTCCAAAAAATATAGGAACTTTGAATCAAACTGTAGAATATTAGATAGCATCTCAAATTGACACATTCATGATCTATTATATATTTTAAAAGAGTTATTGATGCAAAGCAAGTGGAAGAAGACTATTTTCAAATAGTTGAACACTCAAAGAAGACGCGACCGAGTTTCCATAAATAGGGGCAGCTGATGATCAGTCCGATTATGTGATTGTTTTTTTAGTCTTGAGTCATTTATAAGTCTTTAATCTGTTTTCATGCTTAGGATATTATTGTCAGTTGGTTTTATTTTATAAGAAATGTGCCTTTTAAGTGAGTCATGTGACTTCTTAAGGTATGTTTTGTAATTTTTAGATCTTTATTCTGCTGGAGAGAATACTAGCCATTAGATTACATTTATTTAAAGGGCTAGAATTATATCTTTGCTAGGGCACCCATTGTGTCATATAAAAGGGTTGTTCCAAGTTGTATTCACCAGCTTTTGATGTATTATTAATGTTTTAGTCTGCCGTAGCAGCCTTTTACCTCTCCCTTTCTTTGGGATTGAGTTGTGGTTGTTTAAGCTAATTTTCTAGCTTGAATTAGCTCTCTGTTTTCCCTTGGGCTCCGTTTGGTTACTTGGAATCAACTAGAAAAGAAAGGAAAGAGAAATTTATTTTTTATTTTTTTAGAGTTTGGATAAATGGAAAAAGAATCGTAATAGAAAATATAGTTTCCCGCATTAGACTATTTCCCCCCAAAACTTTTCTCACACAAAGCACACGAAAATTATATTTTCTCATGATTCTTTTTATTTGACGTTCCTATTTTATCCATCAACTTAAAACAACCAACTTCTTTCTTTTCTAACTAAGTTTCTTTTCTACTGAGTTTCAAATAGGCAAGTTCTCTAACAATTTATATTTTAGTGGACTTCTAAAAGGCAATTCTTTCTAAACACGTTCTCTTGCAATACTATATGGAGAGAATAATATACATTTTGCTCTTTTTGTGTTCTTTGGTTGAAAGCCAATGAGTCCATGAGCCCATTTTATTTATTTATTTATTTATTTTTTTTTGTATTTTTAAGCTTCCTTGTTTCTATTAAATTAATAGTTAACTTCTACCTAAGAAGTCTTGACGTATTATTTTAATTTAAACAATATAAATGAATATAAATAATTATATTATTAAATTTAATAATTCATCATTTTACTAAAACTTTGCTAAAAATAGACATCATCAAACACAAATTCATTTATTTTTTTAGTATTTGAAATTGGTATGCACAATCACTTTCTTTTCATTTTCATGCTATCCAAACTAACAAACTAATATTTTTGTACAATTCTCCTGAATAAATTTTCATGCTAACCGACTGCTTGCTAGAAAATAACTTTTCTTTTCATTCACTTCACTTTTCTTTCATTTTCCATTTCTTTTCTTTTCTTGCTTATTTCCATCCTATTGAAGATTTAATGGAGAAATCGGTGGAGGAAAATCTTTCAATAATTGATGTTGTTTCCTATTATTGAAGATTTGGTGTTATAGAGGAATCAGTGGAGAAAAATCCTCCTTGTTTCCTATTTTCTAATTCTTTCCATTCTCGTAATTTCTTTTCCTATATAAAGGAGTCTCCACCATTGTATTGTATATGAATTAAGAAAGAATGGAATAAAAGAGATGCAGCCGTTTAGGTTTTGTGTGTCGTGGATGTAGGCTCTAGTGGCTGAACCACGTAATATCTATGTGTGTTCTACTGGTTTTATTTATCTCTTTACTTCCTTTTTTATGCTTTACAACATGGTATCAGAGCCTAATTTCTCTTCCTAGGTTCGGACCCCTGTTATGGGGTATTCCCTTAGCATTTGAAATGTTGCTAAGGGTTTCTCAGTGCTATTTGTGACTTGTTTGGGCTACCGATTTGTTCGGCAGTAATGTTCTTCACCTTTGCCGTGTCTCTGGCAGTTTTTATCGGCTTGTTTGGGTTGCCGGTGTATTCGATAGCATTGTCTTCGTCTTTGCCGTGTCTTCGGCAGTTTTTGTTGACTTGTTTGGGTTGCCAGTGTGTTCAATAGCATTGTTCTTCGTCTTCTCTCTTCATCATTCACACTTGTTACTACTCGTCATCTCAATGGCAAGTTGGGCATTCATGCTCCAACTTGAGGGGGAGTATTGAAGATTTAATGGAGAAATCAGTGGAGGAAATCAGTGAAGATGGTGTTTCCTATTATTGTGTTATAGAGGAATCAATGGAGAAAAATACTCTCTATTTTCTATTTTCTAATTCCTTCCATTCTCATAATTTCTTCTCATATATAAAGGAGTCTCCACCATTGTATTGTATATGAATTGAGAGAGTATTATAAAAGTGATGTAGTCCCTCGGGCTCTTTGTGCCGTGGATGTAGGCTCTAGTGGCTGAACCACATAATATCTTTAATTTATCTTTGCTTCCGTTTTATGCTGTACAACACATCTAACCAAACGGAGCCTTATAGATTTTATTTTTCCTTTCATAGCTGATTGCATTAGTTGGTATCAGGTCCATTGGTTTTGTGTAGGTCTATCAGATTTCTCTCTTAGGTTTTGCAACATGCCACCAAGAAGAAGAAACCCACCTCGCCGACCAGCTGTTCGGTCTAATCAGGACACATCAGTTGATCAACAACAAGTGCTTGCAGTGATAAAAGATAAAAGAAGGCAGATTGAAGCTTTAGCCAGGCGGGTTGCAGAAACCCCAGCTCCTTCTCAAGATGGCGTCGAATCTGAGGACGACAATTTCAAAGAGGAATTTGTTAATCCTTTTCGCAGAAACGCAGCACCAAAACCATCACCTTTTCCATATGAAGAAAGGCGTTGGGATGGTGGTTTTAAGGTGGAAATTCCAGAATTTGCAGGAGATCTGAATGGAGAAGGTTTCATTGATTGGTTAACCACTGTGGAAAGAATCTCTGACCTAAGGGTGTACCCGAGGACAAAAAGGTAAAATTGGTTGCTGTGAAACTAAGAGGAAGAGCATCATCAACTTGGTGGGATCAGTTCATTATGGCGCGACAAAGGCAAGGAAAGCCCAAGATTGTTGATTGGGAAAAGATGTGAAAGAAGCTAAGGGAGACTTTTCTTCCTTACAACTATACCTGGTCAATGTTTGAAAGGCTACACAATTGTCGTCAAGGAAGCAGGACTGTTGACGATTACGCAGAGGAATTCTTTGGACTTGTTCTCAAGAATGAGTTAAATGAAAGTGAGGAGCAAACGGTTGCACGGTATATAGGGGGCTTACGAGTTAATCTGCAGGATATACTGATTCAACAAGATATTTGGAATGTTTCTCAAGCGTATCAACATGCCAAAGCCGCAGAAATTCCGCAAGCAAGACGGACACATAGAGCACCAAATAATCAGTTTAATTCTAATCGAGCTACAACTTCTAGGGGGCAATCTCAAAGTGGCAGCAATGCAGCCCCTCAATCAAGGCCAGGTGGTGGAGCAACTAGTGCTAAATTGCAGCCTAATGGAGCAGGAATTAAGTGCTTTAAATGTGGAGCACCTGGACACAAGTCAGCTGAATGTCGAAAAGCAAATAGTCATGATGGAAAGCAGCTTCTTATGGAAGAATGTGGTGAAGAAGAACCTATTTATGATGATGATGATGATGAGGAGGAGGATGCTGTTGTTAGAGGAGACACGGGGCTTTCTCTTGTGATGCGAAAGGCCTTTATAGCACCACAACACAAAGATCCTGAGGATTGGTTGCGACATAATATTTTCCAAACTACTTGTACCATTGGTGGTTGTGTTTGCAAGCTGATCATAGATTGTGGAAGCTGTGAAAACATCATCTCTCAAGAGGCAGTAACGAAGTTAAAGCTATTGGTGGAAGCACATCCTCAATCTTACAAACTTTCCTTGTTTAAGAAAGGCAATGAGGTATTCGTCACTAAACGATACTTAGTTAATTTATATATTGGTAGTAGGTACTTTGATAAAGTATGGTGCAATGTTGTGGCAATGGAAGCATGCCATGTCTTGTTCGGTCGACCTTGGCAATTTGATATAAAGTGCAACATAATGGCTGCAAAAACACTTATACTTTTTATAAAGATAAGAAAAAAATAATTTTGGTTCCATCTAAAGAGGAAGAAGTTATACCTAAAACTAAACTGGGGGAGGGTGTTAATTTACTCTCTATGGCCAATTTTGAGGAGGAATTGGAGGAGAGTGGCGTGGTATATGTTGTAATTGGTAAAGAGAAGTTTGCAGGAACAAATTGTCCAGCTACTGTTCAGCCACTTTTAGAGGATTTTGCTAATGTTATGCCACAAAATTTACCCC